GGTTCAAGCAATTCTCCTGCCTCAGCCTCCGAGTAGCTGGGACTACAGGCACGCACCATCATGCCCAGCTAATTTTTGTATTTTTAGTAGAGATGAGGTTTCACCTTGTTGACCAGGATGGTCTCGATCTGTTGGCCAGGATGGTCTCGATCTCTTGACCTCGTGATCCACCCGCCTCGGCCTCCCAAAGTGCTAGGATTATAGGCGTGAGCCACCGCACTCGGCCAAAAATAAAATTCTTATAGGTGTATTACTTTATGGAATGGAACAAAAAACAATTTGGATTGCATGAATGTATTTGAAAGAGAAGATTAAAGTGCAACACTGGTATCTTGAAGGTAAGCAACAGTTTGCTGTGAGATAGAAAACTTTTATGTGCATCTTTTAAATCAATGCTTTAAAACTCTGAGTACCTCTAACTACTTAAAATGCAAATCCTAAACAACTGCAAAATCTTTTCTAGTTTCAAAGCCTACTGAACTAGGGAAAGAAACCAGGAGGAAAAACCAAATGGCTACCATTTTGAAAACATGTTTCATCTGAACAGGGGAGATGAACTGTAACTTCCTAGCTTGTAAAAAGATGGAATACCTCGCAAAGCTAAGAAGGTGGTTAGAATCTGGCATTCCATTCTGTTCTAGCCAAACACTCCCAAACTAGTCCTTTAGCATAAATGATAACTTGTTTTGGTCTCTTCATTGTGCTCTTGCTCCCTGTGTAGGTGGGTCTGATCACTCCCACAACCCTTGGATGACAGCCAGCAGTTTAGCACATTTGCTTTGTGGGCACTAGACTGTTTCCAGTTCCCTGGGTATAGCCTAGGGATGGTGGCCCATAGTCACTCAGCAACTGGTGGTACAGTGAGAATGATACCATGTGGGCAGAAGGTGACATAGAAGGTGACAAACCCTCAGCTGAGTTGAGGGAAGTGGTGGGCATTTTCAAGGTCAAGTTTAGTTTGTATGACATTCTTTCACCTCCATTCCCAGTAGATTTAAAAATATATATACACAGAATGGTGCTGAAAACTGTGGATGTCTTCCAGAAGCCCATAGAATTTTGGGCTTGGGGTTAGAAGCTGAAAACCCTGGAAATGATCAGGAGTGATCTGTTCCCTGTTGTGTACACAGCAGATCAGGACATTTTGGCTTGTGGCTTCCTAATCATCCATCTGTCCTCCAGAAAAGACATGATAGGACAGTCAGACAGACACAAAGATGTACACGTGCACACATGTGCACACACACACACACTCTAACATATTTGAACAAGGCTAATAGAAAAGTGAAATGAAATGGAACGAATATAGGAAAGGGTACACAAAGAATTTATTAGAAGGAATGATGTGGGACAGTTAGCATTTATTGATCACCCACTATGTGTCAGACATTCCATTACCTCATTGAATTATTTTCTTCTTATTTTTCATGGACAAATAAAAATTATATACATTTATGGTATAAAACATGGTATTTTGAAGAATGTACATTGTGAAAGGGCTAAATAAAGCTAATTAACATAATGTTACCTCACATACTTATCTTTTAATTGTGGTAGGAACACTTAAAATCTACTCTATTAGCAATTTTCGAGTATACAATACATTGGTCTTAAATTTAGTCACCATGTTGTAAAATAGATCTCAAATCATTTAATTTTTCAAGTTGGTATTATTACTCTACAAGTAAGTAAACTGAGGCTCAGGGAGATTAAATAGTTTGTCTAATGTCACATCTAATAACTGGCAGAGCCCAAATTCAAAACTTAATTTGTTGGATTTGAAAACCTTTCACTTTGCTGTCTATCTCTCATGCAAGAAGGTGGAGCTTGAGGGAATTGGCATTAGGAAATTAGGTAACAGAGATGGTTGGTTAAGTCCATGAGGTGACCACAGAGGATGGATATGGCTGGATTTCACTATCTTCCTCCACCTCTCCTATTCTCATAGTTGTGATATGCATTGCCTCAGAGTTGCAGCCTTCTTTCTTCCCAGGATGAGCTTTAAAAATTTTTTTAATTAACAGAAAATACTTTTAATAACCAAATAATTACAGGGTACAATGTGATATTTTGATCTATGTATTGTATATATTTGAGAAAGATCAATCAAGCTAATTAATATATCTACCTCACCAACTTATTTTTCTTGGGAGATTAATAGTGAAGGGACAATAAAAGAATAGTTAAAACTCTATTCTTTTAGCAATTTTGAAATGTATTATACATTATTAACTGTGGTCACCTACCATACAGTACAATAGGTCACTAAAGCTTATCTCTCCAGTCTAACTGAAACTTGGTAGTTTTTGGTGATTCACATTGTCCGTTTCCTTATCCCTCCTCCTACCCCAGCCTCTGATAACCACCTTCTACTCTTTGTTTCTATTAAATTGACTTTTTTTGATTTTGCATGTAAGTGAAATCACAGTATTTTGTTTTTCTGTGCCTGGCTCATTTCACTTAATATAAATTCCTCCAGTTCCATCCATGTTGCTGTGAATAACAGAATTTCCTTCTTTTTGAAGGTTGTATTGTATTCCATTGTGTATATATGCCACCATTGCTGTACCTATTCATCCTTTGATGGACACTTAGTTTGAATCCGTATCTTGGCTATTGTGAATAATGCTGAAAAGAATATGGTAGTGCAGGTATCTCCTAGATATACTAATTTCAATTTCTTTGGATATATATCCAGAAACAGGATCACTGGATCGTAGGGTCATTCTATTTTTCGGTTTTTGTTTGCTTGTTTGTTTTTGAGATAGCCTTTCACTCTTGTCACACAGGCTGGAATGCAATGGTGTGATCTCGGCTCCCTGCAACCTCTGCCTTCTGGGTTCAAGCGACTCTCCAGCCTCAGCCTCCTGAGTAGCTGAAATTACAGAAGCCTGCCACCATGCCCTGATAATTTTGATATTTTTAATAGAGACGGGGTTTCATCATGTTGGCCAGGCTGGTCTCACACTCCTGACCTCAGGTGACCTGCCCACCTCAGCCTCCCAAAGTGCCGGAATTACAGGCATGAGCCACCAAGTTCAGCCTTATTTTTAGTTTTTGTTTTGTTTTGTTTTGTTTTGTTTTTTTGCGGCACCTCCATGCTATTTTCCAAAATGGCTGTACTAATTTACATTCCCAACAACAGTAAACAAGGGTTCCGTTTTCTTCACATCCTCACCAACCCTTATAATCATTCAGCTTTTTGATAATAGTCATTTTAACAGGTGTGAGGTTATATCTCATTGTGGTTTTAATTTGCATTTCCCTGTTAGATATGTTTGAACATTTTTTTTTATATGTCTGTTGGACACTTGTATCTTTCTTTGAAAAATGTCTGTTCAGATTTTTTGCCCATTTTAAAATCAAGTTATGTGTTTTCTTGTTATTGAGTTATTTGAGTTCCTTATATATTTTTAGATATTAACTCCCTATCAGATGTATGGTTTGCAAATATTTTCTCCCAGTCCATGGGTTGTCTCTTCACTTAATTGTTGCCTTTGCTGTGCAGCTTTTTAGTTTGATGCAATTCCATTTGTCTATTTTCACTTTTGTTGCCTGTGCTTTTGGAAGGATAAACTTTTATTTCAAGGGAAAATACTGAACTCAGTTCTGCTCTCATCTTAGATCTGAAGCGAGTTGGCCAGATCTCCTCTTCTTGAGGGTACATGACTAAGAGAGATGGGAGGGGGCCCACAGCACAGAGACCCGTTGCCAAGAACATCTCAGGGTGGAGAGACCTTTGGAACATTTTTTTCCACTCTGCATCAGACAGAGTAAAACTGATTAGCACTTAATTGGTTTCAGCTGTTCTTAAACATGTTGCACAGAAAACTTCAATGTACTTTGCTAAATTCAATATTCCTTATGGTTAACAGATTGAAAGCCAAAACACCCTTGAAGAAAACACCAGAAATCAGTGCTTTAGATCACACCGAGTTGTTTGCTATTGGTCACCCACTTGGAATGTTCTGGGAATGCTAACTACTTTGGATTGGATATATTCAGAAAAGAAACAAATCCGTATCTGGTAAGACCGTTGGGTAGATAGCTGCCTAGGAATCAAGACATCTATGTTGCAGTTCCCGCTCTCCCTGCACAGCCACGTAATTTTGGGAAAACCCCTTCACCTCTCTGGATTATATTCATGTTTCTAATCTAGAAAATGAGGAGATGAGCTCAGTGATCTCCAAAGTTGCTTCCATCTCTGACATGTATAACTGATTTGCATCATTCTGATGCTCCACTACAATTCTGGAATAATAATGGTACAATCATCTCTCCTTTAGCAGTGTGCAGAACAGCAACAGCAATTGTGTCTTGGAACCCAACGAGGAAGAGGTTTCAAATGAAATACACTGGTTAAGGCTTAAACAATAAGGCATTTTAGTCTCAAAAGGCCAGAGGATAAAGTCTGGGAAAATCTGACTACTTCACTCTGTGTTCTTGGGCAAGGATACTTCAGTCTCTACCCTTCATATCTCCATCTACAAAATGCAAATAAGGACATCTCCTGTTAATGCAAAAAACTGTTAAGAGATTCAGTCAAAAGTTAAGTGCAAATCATGTGTATCAGACACTGATGGCTACAGATGGGCTGCAGCTTCAGTAACTGCTCTTTTTCAATCCTCCTTCCTTCTCTTCCCTGCATTCTCTTAAATGTTCATTGTGCCATTATTTCTCCTGCCTTGCCTCTTCTCTCTTGCTGAATCTTCCTGTGTGTTTCCTTTAACGAAACTCATGAATGACCAAGGTGGAAGCTAGAACAGTGAAAAGCTCGAGAGAATTTCTGCTCTGTGGCCCAGGAGGCCACAGAGAGGAAGTCATCTGAAGCCCTGCTTGCTACCCACTTGCCTTTCTAGGGTCCCCAACAGCTGTTGGTCCCTTACTACCAGACCTCAAATTAACATTCAACGGGCTAATCTGCAGTCCTAACCCCAAGGCTTGGGGAATTCCTGACCCTTTTCCAGCAGCCCTGAGAGCTTCCTCAATGATCCCCAGCTTATGAGACTGAATGTGGACTTACTTATGCTTGAGCAGAGAGAAGCATCAGGCACTTCCACGGAATGCCTTCCTCATCCCCCAAAGCTAAAGACTTTCCTGGGCTTCCATGAACGTTAATGTCAAGATAGCTCAGATTGTTCGACCCATAGCTAGTCCTGCTGAAACCATGGTCACAGGGTTCCATAAAAATCACAAAGCCAAAGCTGGCTAAAGGGAATGCCAGAGCCTTGGTATGAATGGTAATATTGAAAGAAGAGCTGTTGGCTTTCACTGTGATGGTTCTCCGGGAGTTAATGCTTTTCATAGATGAAGTAGATTTATGTTAGCAATGCAAAAAGTTATGATATTGAAGGCAAGACCGGATATTGGAAGTTGCAGGCTGTTTGTAAACTTCATGAGGGGTATTGTATCAATGTGGAACTCTTTCCCAGAGCCAAATTATGTACTGGCAATCTGAAGTGAGGGAGAGAGTTGAGTCTTGGTCATTGACTCAGTATCTGGGACTGCCAGCCTTACTAGACTGGAGAATAGGTGAACAGTGTTCTCTTCTTCTGAAAATGGCATACGTGCACCTGCGAGGGAAATAAAGGCTTACAGGCAGCCAGGTCTTCCCAGTCCTTCCTGGTGCCTCTTTACCATACTCAGGGTAAGACTTGCCTGCAAATCAGTGATTCTAGGAAGCAGCACAGCATTTCTCAAGTTTCCTTCTCAGTAAGTAGTGGGCCATTTGATCTCTCTGAATGACCATAGAGAGCCTACTGAGTGCAGCAAAGTCCACAGTGCAACACTGCTGTGTACTGACTACTCCTTAGAATCTGGTTCTCCTGTGATTTTAATTAAAAGCTTACTGAATCTTTCCCTAGCAACTTAGGAATGATACACTATTTCAGGCATCATTCCTGCTGAGTTTACCCGCGGTTAGAAATGTAAGGGAGTCCATGGAATAGAAATGAGAGAAGAATTAAAGCTCTTCATAAACTCTAAATGCTAGTGTTACTATCATTGTTGGTATCTAAAATGCCATAGACCCTCCCCTAGTGGTTCTATTTCCTATGCATTGAGTCAGGGATCAGAGCTCTGTCAGCTGGTGACTTACACATTTATAATCCCCCAGGAGAAGCCCAACCCCATCCTTCTAGACTCATTAGGTCCTAATTCTGCTGTTTCTCCCCTTAGTCATAGCAACGCCCATACACACTGCCCAGTAAATTCCCCTAATTTCCCAGCTCCAAGACATCTTGAGTTACAAATGGATGATGGAAGATCACATAATTTTTGTTTTATTATAAAGTGGAAAAGTGAGGCAGCATTTATTCTTGCAGTCACTCTGTGCTCCTCAAATGTTGCTCTGGCTCAGGTGTGGGAGAGAAGGGTGTGGTTGGAATTATGCCTCAAGTCCCACCAAGCTCTTAGGGGAGCCTCTGTTTCTCCTCTGCCCTCCTCTTCCAGCCCTTCTAAAGGCTTTTCTTTCTTTCTCTGACACCCTGTTAGTATGAACTCATGTAAGCTATTTAATGAGCCAGGCAGCTTATCCAATTTTTATAAATTGAATGATAGAGGTTTATGTGACAACAAGCCATGATTATGAAAAGTGCCAGGAATATTAAGTTCTGCACTGCTGCTTTTGAATTGGCCTTTATTAAAAACTGATTATACTTCTTCTGGGGTCAGTACTACTAAAAATATTAAAAATAGACTTAGAAATTTGGTACTTTCATTATGCCTATTTTCCCCAGCTATTTGTTTTCAGCCAGATAATATGATACATCTTAAGATACACTGCATTTGCCATAGGCTGTAAACTTTATTTTCAGCTGCTGTATCCTGGAAACCCAAGATATTCAGAACATTGTTATTTACATTGAGGAAAAAAAAGCTTTTCTTTTAATCAATCAGGTTTACTTTAGCAGTAATTCGGTCAGCTGGAACAAATTTGCATTTTCCCGATATTTTTAGTGGTGGCAAAATTATGAGAACTACTCCATCTCATAATTATACATTCAGATATTGTACTGTCAAAAAACACCAATTAAGAAAAAAACAATGAAATGAAACAGATAAATCTGAGAAACCTCTCTTCTTCCCCTGCCACTCACCTTGCCCCTTTTCTGGCTATTTGAGCATAAGCAGTTTCACTATTGTCCAGGAGAGTTTAAATTTTACTTCTTGTTAGGGTGACTATTATGAACTCCTCCCTAACTGAAGATTTTGTGTTCTGAAGTCATTGTATTCTTAGGCTGTGGTCCAAAGTGACTTCATTTTCTGGCTGCTGGGATTTAAGAGAGACTTAATGTAAGGACTGCAGTTTTGTGAGCCTGATTCATATTAAATAGGACTGAACCATGTATTAAGATCTCCAACAAATTTCTCCAAAATTTGAATTAAGTATTACACAGCTCTACTTGGCCAACGATGAGGTTAATTAAAATGTACATTACAGATCTGATAAATGTAATGAATTGGCATTGGGCAGGTACAGGAACAGCTACTAAAACTCCAAAAATAACAGTTCTTGGAAAACAGTTCTCAATCTCAAATAACACATCAAAATTAATTTTAGCTGCATGAAGAACTTGACATGAGAACCATTTCAGATTTTTTAAAAATGGGTTTGAATGAAATGGTAAAAGCAATTCTAGAGTTTCGAAAAGGAAATGAAGAGTTTATTAACTGAGAGCCTGTCCATTAAGAATGAACGCAGCCATCTTAGCAACTAACACCAAGCCATCCAGTAACTGACACCCCTGTGAACTAGAAAAGTCAGCACTCCTGGGAGAGCCGGCACTAGAAGAAAATTGTCACTTAAAATTTATCACTAAAGGTAGTTACTCCTGCCTTCAGGATGAAAATAAAAATGTTTCAGAAGTCATTTAAAAAGAGGATTCAAGGTGTACAAAAAAGATTTTTTGTAGAAAGGAGTTCAGTGCAACATTACTTATCAGAGTGAGAAATCAGAAACAGCCAAAGAGACAGAAAGTAGAGGACTGGTTAAACAAATTACGATACATTCACACAATTGAATACTATGCAATTATAAAACAATGCTATGCTGCAGTCATATTAAAGTTCATAAGAAAATTTTATAATAATATATTATTATATTAATTATTACATAAAAAGGAAAAAAAAGCAGGCTGTAACATAGTAGACTCCAAAATTTAATATCTCTAAGGCAGGGCCAAAATACCTGATTTTTTTTCTTCTCTACCCTTTCTATATTTTCTTAGTAATCAAAGAGAGAGCAATAAATGTCATCAAAAGACACTCCATTTGCAAGTCTGCTGAGAGATAGCATATTATTTAATTTCTTATTTTTGACTAGAACTTAAATTACTTGGTGTTTCAGAAATGCATCTACTTTCTACATTTCTCATCAATTAAAAAAATCTGTCACTTACTATCACATTTGGAAGCCTTGTACTTTCTACTTAGGCAATATTTTGGGAAAATTAAATTTGATTGTGCCAAAGTCATAAAAAAATGGCCTTAATTTTGTTTCAGTGAAGTGTCTTCAAAATTTGTTAGATGGTGTTAATAAGCTGTTAAATTGATCAAGAGGCCACAAGGCCTGCAATAAACAGCTCTTTTATAACTGCAAAAAATCTTCATGGACAAACTCCAGCCTCAAAGCAACATGAAAACCCCAGAAGCTGAAAAGAAGACACAAGTGCTGAGTCAGGGTGCTCCCTCATGCAGAACACAGATCAAACTACTTGACTGAAGATGCAGAATAGAGGATTCCACTAGTAAGACTGTGTGCTGGGGAAAGATCAGGCCTTAGGTCAATACATTCTTGTGTAGGAGGAGCCCTGTCCACTGCAACTTCACAGCACAAATGAGAATGACTCTTGGTTAGAAGAGAAATTCCGTAAGCTCTGTTATGCAAGAAAGTCAGGAAACACTGTTACTGTACTAGCTGCCCCTGATTTGAGACACGTGTGTTGACAGAAACCGCATTTGAAAAACTACAAAATCTCAGTGATCTCACTTCATCTCTCTATTACACACACACACACACGCACGCATGCACGCACGCACGCACGCACTCTCCCAGAGAGTGCTGACTTTCTGGTTCACAGGGGTGTCAGTTACTGGATGGCTTGGTGTTAGTTGCTAAGATGGCTGCGTTCATTCTTAATTCACACACACGGCAGGAGAGAGACATTTTAAGATCATAGATTATAATGGCAATAGCTACATTCTCAGTGTTCTCTCCTGTCGCATCTCTCTTTTTCGTTTTTTGTTTTTGTTCATTTGTTTGTTTGTTTGTTTTTAAAGATCAGATTTATTTGGACAAAACAAAAAACAACAACCCAAAGGATGGGATTTTTACATCTCAAGACATCACCCAGGTAATAAGTCTACAGATAATAAATCATTTTCACAGAAGATATATTTGTGCAAATTTTACATGTATTCACAAGTGGGACATTAATCAATCCCCATTTCTATTTTAACAGGGGTGCAAGGTAGGGGAGAGGAAAGAACAGTTTTGGATACAAATATTTGGAAGGAGAGTAGACACAAGGAGGGCAAACCCTAGCTTTTCATATCTATAGATCTATAGTCAATTTTTTTTTCTAAAAAAAAAAAAACTTTTCAATCTTCAGCATCTTATTAAAAGCCCACTTCTTAGCTACTAGCCAATCCACCCCAATTATTTAAATTCACTTGGTACACACCTTTGTCCATTGGGGGTAAATTATATTCATTATGCCCACTGCTGTAGAACGCATAAACTAACAGCTGTGCATGGCTTAACAGGGCCTAATCTAAGACTGATGGGAGAAGGGCTTGCAAAGCAAGATCCAGGTGTCATTTCTCTGCTAATACTGTCTACCAAGCTGATCCCTACAAAAATGCACATAAAAGCAGGCAAGTTTAGCTACTGCGTTGCAAGAGAAACCAGGACCTTGTTAAATAGTTCTCTCTGTTACCATTTATTCTCAAGGGAAGCTTAAAAAAGAAAAGAAAAGAAAAACAACACATTGGTTTGGCCCCCTCATAAATGCAACAAGCATTGGTGTGGCATTTCAATGGAGAAGGAAACTTGGGAGGGAAAAAACCCATCAAGGTTGTAAGAAACGCACCCAATTTAACTGTCACTGTCCCTATTTATCCACCTTTATTCACCACCCAAGACCATCCATTATTCTAGAGCACTTTGATATATAAACGGGGTCAAAGCATCAGGAGCAGGCAAGGAGTGAGAACCAAAGAAACCGATTTGCTTGAGAAAACGGCGATTCTTCCTTTCACAGCTCTCCGTGGCTGAGAGAGAAAATACCCAACAGATCATCTATGTGACTTAGAGACTGCTTTTTGGGAGGTTAAGAGTAGCAAGAAGAACTTAAGATGTTGGTAAGAATCCAAATTTTTAAAGTTTCAAGGTTTCAACAGAATGTGGATCTATTCGAACTTTCAAAAACGTCATGTCACATCTTTCTTCCCATGACCTGGAGCTCCTCTTTTTCCCAGGTACTCATATTTCTTATCTCCTCCCCATCCCCTATACAAATTTGACTGCATGAAGGATATTGAGGCAGCATTGCTTTCTGCTTCTGGTCCTAGTTGCCCAGGTTGCATGCTATAGGGAAGGAGGCAGCAGTAACTCTAGGCCACAGAGGTGTAGCTGGCTGCTCTTGCAGATGCTTGTACACATACCATGGAATTAAGGGGTCCCAGAGTAGGGATGGGAGAGAAAAGGTTAACAACGTGAGCTGGATATAACAGTCTAAGTTGAAAGCTTTTTTTCCTTTAGCACTTTAAAGACTGCTTTCTTCCTTGCTTTGTAGCATTTAGTGTTGCTGCTGACAAGTCTCGGTGTTATTCTTTTTGATAATATGTTTTCTTCCCAGCACATGTAAGCATTCCTTTTATTCTTTATGTTCTAAGTCTCATTACAATGTTCCTAGGTGGGAATTTATTTTTATTTATTCTGGTATTAAGAGAGACCTTTCAATCTGAGATTTAGGTCTTTTAAACTGGATAATTCTTAGAACAAAAGCTTTTATGTTAAGCACCTTATGTTACTTCTCTGTCATTCTTTTCATTCTCTTTTTCTGGACTCATATGTATGTAACCACTCGTTCACGTATTTTAACTCTTTGTCTTTCCATGTTGAATTTAGTGTGAACTCCTCCCTATGATCTTCCCAGTCATGAGAACTTCCCCTACTAGGTCTAGAGTTCAGTCCATCTATTAAGTATTTTTTAAAATATCAAGGGTTATATTTCTACTCAAAGAGTTCTATTTGGTTATTTTTGCATATTTATCTGTTCTTGCTTCATTTATGCTTATTTTAGTTCCGTGATGGCTAATTCTTTTTATAACTGTTATTCTCTTATGGGTCTCTTTAAGCTTCCTTGTTTTAACCAATTTGTCACACTGTTCATTAAAATTAATTTCCTTCTGGAGTGAATTCATGTTCATGTTTTATTGACTGTATTTTTTCAGGATAAGATTTCGTGAATTTTGCAATTTTGATTTACAGGCTTACTTTAAAGTGTTTTTTATTATTGTTTTCAGCCTACTTTTTGTCTCTCCTCACTCCCTGTGTCTGCTTCTTTAAATCTAGTGGTTTTGTGGGTGTCTTTATACTGGCTTTCTGGAATTCCATGTCAGAACCAGGTGCTATAAATGCAGCTCAGGGGCCTAGGTCATGACAATGTCATAGATATCGCAGGTCCAGTCACCAAGCCAGCATGTAGCTTGGATCTTTTTCTGGTTTCAGGACTGCATCTGTATCCACTCACCTCTGTGGGCCCACAGATTCCCTAAGTCACAGCTCAGACTAAGAGCAATGATTCAAACTCAAGTCCTTTGTCTCAGGTGGAGTAGTAGACTTCCTGTCACCCAGCCACCACCACCTGATTCTGGATCTGGAGCCAGCAGACCCATGGCTTCAGCCCAACTCACTCTTTTGTATTTTGTTGTTTGTTCTTATCATGGAAATCGTCATCTATTTTTTTTTTTTTT